CCTGGCTCCAGCTCTTCCATTCTTTCAATACCAGCTCTAGAAAACTCCCCTGGATCATCTCCTGAATCAAACAGGAACATCTTAATTTAGTAGTTACCTCCGCCACTCTGCCTGGAAAACTCTTCCATGCACTAAGGCACCTGAATGCCAGACTACCCAGCAGTCAGGCTGCACTTTACATCAGGAATTCCACAGGCCATTTTATTTATTCTTCCATCCTTCATCACACAATATTTCTCCCTGTTTTCTGGTTCAGAAAAGCCATAGGAAAACATACTGTCATCAACCATAGGCATGGGTAAGACCTCTTGGGGCATAAAGCCTAACTGTCCACATTCAGTAAATTCACCCCAAAGTGTACCACCATCCCCTTGCAGGCTGCCTTGGATGCCTGGTTTCAGTCTCTTCCTTCTCCCGTGGGCGATGGTGGGTGGGACCACCCCAAAAAAACCCACTCCAGCCATGAGAGAGACCAAATATGTCCCATCACTCTACAGCAGCCACCCTGTCTGCCCAAGAACTGGCACTGACCACTGTGTTGTGACAGGGAGAGATGTTAAAATGTGGACTGGCAGGAAAACTCCAGGGCTCACAGGGAACTGCCTTGGGGTTCAAATGAATCCTCTAGCTGGGAAATACTGGGATGAATCATCCAGAGTGCTTGGCAGTGTGGACAGTGCAGGATGTGGGTATATTCAGACAAAGCTTAAGACGTGGGTTATTGTATCTTCAGGTGAATGTTTAGCTTTTGTTGGCTTTTGATGACTCAGGGTGTCTTTTACGAGACAAAATTAATGCAAGTGCTACTCTTTTTACAGTGGCCACATTGCCCAGGAAATGAAATGCCATAAGGGGAGCAGAGCTCATTAGTTTGGTGCCATAAATGGTTCTCCAAGGTCCCAGAAACCCTATGATTAACATAAACATAGACAGAAGCAATTAGAAATAAACACACATATTAAACCCAGCTTTCCATCTAAAAACATGGTCCGCAATATCCCTCTTTCACAAATGTGGTGACCTAGAGGTAAGGGACATCTCATATCATTCATGACATAAACCAAAGCCTGAGGAAGGAAAGCAGCCAGACCAAGGTAAAAGTGAGGACAACAGATCATGTAATATAGGTACCAAGGTACCAGTTAAGGATTTTGAGATTCACCCTCAGAATTACATCCTTTTTGGGGCAATTTGAAGCAAATGCTGCCCCATTGTGTTTTCTTCACACTGCACTCCTCTCTCAGGTGGTTGCTGTTGGGTGGACATGTTGACGCTCTTTAGGGTGGGGCAAAGTAGTTCAAATCTTATAAAAACTATCTCAAGTCTTCATCTTGCAATGGCTGAAAAAGTGGAAACCTTGTCAGGTTTTCTAGTGCGTCCCATAAAATTCACCAGAAGGTAATGTTCAAGAGGAGGATTGAGAACAGGGGAAGATGAGGTGAGCGTGTCAGCCCTGGGCAGACCCACCATGTCAGCATCATGGGCCCTCAGAGCAGCAAAGTGCCCTGAGCACAGGCATACATGTATTCGTAGGAGATTGTACACTTTTTACTCTGCATTTATTCAGAATAGACCCAAACGCCAAGAATGAGGTGTGTTTTGTAAAAACCAGAGCGTGGCCTCCTTGCCTGTCTCTGTGGCAACCATGCTGAGAAACAGTGTGTTGATGCCACACTGGGTAAATAATGAAGGAGGCAGCGATGTTCAGGCAAAGTCAAGCAGAAAGTGCAGATTCCAACCCAGCATCCTGACTCCAGCAAAAGTCCCATCAAGAACAGCAGTTTGCTAGTAACCTGCCCTACAGGAATATCCCCTACAGACTCCTGATAGTCAAAAAGCAGCTTGAAGCACCTCTACTAAACTGTTTTTAACAGGTATTGTCATGACTTTAGGTGCTCCATCTGTTCAAGCAATAGCACATTCCACTTTTACTCTAAATGCTAGGCGGACATCCTACAGTAATGAGTTTTGCAGGCTGATTACTTGTTGCATGATAAAAATACATTGCCAGCAGCTGACTCAGAAAGGCAATGGGCAAAAAAAAATTAGTGCTTCTTGTCTTCTCAGAAAAGAGGGAAGGGACAGGGAAGGAACAGGGTTCAGTCCTGCCTTTGGATTAACTCCAGAGAGGAGAAAGGCATGGAAGTTTACTGACTGACCTGGTGGAGCAGGACGTGGTCATGTAGGTTGTAACCCTTCTAGGTTACAAGTCCTCCAAAGGCCGCCAAAGGAGGGTCTGGGGCAGTTTGTGTTGTTACTGTTCTACAAAAGGCTCTTACCTTACAGCTAACCTGCACCTAAAGGGAACATGAACTTTAGTTGTTTATGTCTGACCTCTGCTGTGATGTCATCAGTGTAACAATTTTACACAAAATTAGGTGTGTAATTGTGTGTTAAATAGTGATGGTTAGCTTGGATTGCCCAACTAATGAAGCATTAATGCTGTCACATATGGACTGCTCCAGGGCACTGGCACTATAAGGGAGTCTGAAATCACTCTGACTCTGGGGGGAAGAAAGACACCCCTTTTCCTCTTCTGGCACCCACTTGCTGGGACTGACCCCTCTCTCCCAGCTCTTGCCCCAGCAGTGCTCCTGCAATTTGCTCTGGAGCTTGTGAACCTGCCTCCCTGCCCAGGCAGTCCTGGCCAGGTGTCCCTGTTGACTCAGACAAGCAGCAGAAGCTGCTGATCACCTCTAATGCATGCCCAAGTTTTGCTTAATTAAGAACAGACTCTCTAATAGCATTCACCACCATCTCCTGACTTCTCTGGGACTGCTTAGGCTGTGGCAGCGCAGCCAGCCAGGCTTTCTTGCTGTGCAGCTCACCTGTGACATCCTAAAGGGTGTGGTGGCAGATATATGGATATATATATATATAAAATTTTATTTTCCAGAGTGTTGCTCTTTTGGACAGGTCTCAGTCCAATATCCAATGTGGCCTCCAGGCCCTCAGATCATCACTCCAAGCCCTCCTGCATTGCTCGATGCAGAAACACCAGCGCGTTCGGCACAGGCTTGGAGGCGCTGTTGTGCTCTCTGGGGTAGTGTCGGCACAATCTTACATATCAGAGCGAGGATTACACCCAAGGCCCTGCAACCCAAATTTCTGGCCACGATCACTATAAAAACACTACTTAGTCGGTGGCTATATTGATTAGATCCTAAACTATAGTTATTTCAGGGAGGAAGTGCCACTTCTTATTGATAATCCCCAATCTTAACTACAGTGGTTGTAAGGAAAGAAAATACTTTTTGGCTCTCAGAGCTGCAGCGATGACCACAGAGTCAGGGAAAGGGCTGGGGGAGATTGCCCTCCTTCTGCCCCCCTTCTCTTGGGCCACCTTCTTGTCCAATTCGCTGTGCATGAATGCAGCACAAAAGCTTTGTTGGATATTACCGTCTGCCATTTCAAGCAACGTCCCTGCCTGGAAGCCCCAGTCCTGGGCCAGCGTCTCTCAGCATTGCAGCGACAGGGAGCAGCAGGACCCCAGCAGGGAGGAGGTGACGGGGTCACCAATTTGGCCAGTTTGCCCAGTTTGGAGTTTGGCCTGAGTCTGTGCCATGGACCCTGTGGTGGGGCTCTGGGCTGACTCCGGATGGAGAGCCCGGTCCCTTGGCGCCCATCAGCCTGTCTGCATACAGATGGATTTTGGCTCCCATCCTTGTCAGTCTTCCCCTGCATCCACCTCTACAGGATTTAAGTATTCTCTCAGGTTCACCACTATGCAAATATTGAAATTAGCCCCTTGCATGATTATGTAGATAGTGACATTACAGACTTTTTCAGGTGAGGAGCACTGAGGAATTCATGTGCCTTCTCTGCTGACAATATCAACAGCCAGGTTTATTTTTCAGTGGGCTAAAGAATGGCCCCCAGCATATGTAAAACTTCAGCATTAAAGTATTTGGTATCTGGAATATTTCTTTTTTTCTTAAGCTTTTCTCTGAATGCAGTAAAAGCACAAAGTGCTGTGCCATGAAATAATGCAAAATACAGCCCTCACCAAGAAGGGCCCAGTTATAAGAGATCGAGATTTTAACTGAGCCTCACTAAAACCAGGAGCAGATTAGGAGAAGCTACTAGGAGACTTGTAGGCCCACTAGCAGGTCCACTACAGCATATGCTTCCAGCTTCGCAATGAAGTTACCATCTGGAAAGATGGTTGTTCACATTTAGTTGATCTAGGGTAACCAAGATGTGGTAGGAATAACATAGATATAGCCAATGTGCCTTGAATTAGGGCAAGAGAGCAGCAACACTTCTTGAGATCCTTTCAACTCTCTATTTCTGATTCTATGAGATGTATTTGAAGTATAGGGCTCAAATTCAGTCCTTAAAATGAAACCCCTCACACTTTTACCCTGTTCAGAAGACCCTAAGAGCCTGAGAGAAGGCAGCAGGTCTCATTCCCTGCTGTGAAACAAAGAAGCCCCTGGGCAGGAATCTAACTGGTCTGGCCAAATGGCCTTGGAACAGTAATTTCTCTGTGGGAAAAGACATTTTCGTCACATCAGTTACATTTCCACAAAATGCCTCATTTACGTCTCATACTTGTGTCTCATTCAGACACCTTCCTTGAGAGCCTCATCGCACTGAGAGCTGCCGTACAACCAATAAGCTGTAATGAACGTGTGTGTGCTTAAACAACAGCCGCTTTCTACCCCCAAAATACTGCCATAAGATCATTGGCTGCAGCTATTACTTTTTCTTAAACTACCGATGATTTCTTGTCCATGGTGCAAATCCTTTGCAGTGTGGAGCATAGCTAAGCCTGATTAGCCAGGATCACATTTTACCAGTGGGGCTAATGAAATTTATTCTTCATTCCCATGCACTGATCTGTCATCCCCATTATTTTACATCTCACCTTGAGTTAACAAATGGTCCACCTTCAGAGCACACTGGGCACGGCCACAGGGGATTTGGCACACTGGCTATAATGTGTTCTGCCGCGCTGGATGGGCAGTGACAAAAATTATCCCTCTTCCCCTAGGTCCTTCCATCGTCCCACTGCAGCGAGCAAAGCCAACTCTGGGCAACCCTCTAAAATGTTTATTTGGACCAGTGGCCGGAGCTCCACATCTTACAGACATGATGAGAAAAGGTAAATGACATCTACGCTGACTGTCTCTTATGGGTTTGAATCTTTAGAAGTGTGGCCTGTAGCTTCCCTTCAGTGGTGGCACTGAGGGGGGAGGAGGGATGCAAGGGGTGTCCCCCCCTTGCCTCTCATCCCACCAGCTACTGCTCCACCAGCAAGACTAGCCGATGAGTGCCAGGGTTAACGTGCCAAGACAAAACAGAGCGGAGGCACAATGCCAGAGCCATGGCCAAAGTCTTCCCTGTTCCCAGGACATCAGCAGCACACCATGACCATCCCTGAGGTCAGCACACACACATCGCACATCTAAAAGCACACTAATCCCCAGCCAAAGGCTTGCAGCCCCAGCTCCAATGCCTGTGAAGCCTTTATGCCTTTTGCAGGTGTCCTGCTTCCAGCCATCAGCCCTCACGTCTCCTGCAGTCCCCTCCAGACAGCACACATGGTGCCTCCTCTCCCCCAGCCAGATCATTGCCCTGTATAACTTTAACTCATCCGGATGATGCATCCAGCTGCCAGAGATGTTTTCTGTTTGTATGCACGCGTGTGTGAGGATGAGCGTTTGCGCAATGCATTGCACAGTGTCTGGGGGATGACAAGCAGCCCACCAGCCCACTTAAGTGGTGTTGCTGGAGGGAACAGGCTGAAGGAGATGGAGGAAGAAATGAGTTACTGGATCTCCCAGGGGAGCAGGGAGTTACACACAAGAGAAGGAAAGGGAAGGAGAGGTTTTAACTCCGTAGCACTCAGATGGGAATGAAAGAAGTTAAATATCACTGATGAAAGAAAAATTGTCAGTAATGGTCAGACTCATCCTTCCTAAATCTCTCTCCTTTGTAGTGAGATTTGCTGAACAACTTGTCTTGTCACAACCAGACACCTTTTCCTTTCCCTTTCCTTTCTTTCCCCCTTCCCTCCCTTGCCTCCTCTCCTTCAGTTCCCCTTGCAGTCACTATTAAATGTAATCACAAAAAATCAGACTCCAGTGAAACAAAAACAGAGGTCGATGTATCTACAGTGCCAATTAGCAAAACACACCCTTCAGTTATCTAATGAGACATTACTGCTGGCATCTGCTTGGGAAAATGCACCCATGAGTTCAGGCAGGAGAGCTGCCCTCAGGACGCCAAGTTTCTTTGGAGAATTGGCCCATTTGCTGAACTTTTCTGCAAAGGCTGCATAGGTGTTCAGCTCTTTTGATAATCTGATCCCAAGCAGATATTTTGAAGACACAAAGGCCATCTTGGCAGCAGATTTCCATGGACTTTCATTTGGAGCTGGTTATCTAGCTGCCTCGTGTACTTTTGTAAGTCTCCCTCATTAATTGAATTATCCCCAGGCTAATGTTCTGCATTAAAACACTGTCATGGACAGGATGGCACAAGGTTAGACACTTGCAGGAGATATCTGCCCACACATTGGGCTGGCTGGAAGCCATCTGCTCCTGATTAGCATGGCCTTCAGCTCACACCATGCCTTTCAGTGGGACTTATTGACTTGGGCTGAGCGCTGTGCTAAACCAGGCTCACCAGCGTCTGGTCCACTTAAATCCAGGGCAGAGCTTGCCCTGTCCACCTGCAGAAATAAGGAGGTAGGGAGCAATTTGTACTTACACACCATAATAACTTCAGGTGCCTTTTCAAGCCTTCGGGTGGGTTTATTTCCCAGGCGGTCCTATAGAGCCATACGGAAGGAATTGTTCATAACCTGTGAGTGATTAATAAAATGCAGGAGGGAAAAGGAGGAAGAGAAAATGGAAATAGAAGAGTGCTGACCGCAGCCTCAGGACTGCAGAAGAGAGGTGTGAACAGAGAGCACGTGTTGCTACTGGGAGAAACTCATCCACCAGTGTCTGGCGGTGATTTTAACACATGTAAGGTCACCAGCAGCATCACTATATCAAGCACTAGTGCATTTTAGAGAAACGGCTTCCCCAAAATGACCCTTTCCTAGGAATTTTTGTTCTTTAAACTTCAGGCAGGAAGATTGCCGTGTGGAGCAGCAAACTTGTCACCTAACACATGCTATGACCACAGCCTTTGAGGGACTGCACCGTAATAATAACCTGTGCAGCAGTGGGTCACTTTCTGTGGAGGAATCACCTCCTCCTGGGTGGAAGGTATCTGTCAGACATGTCTTTTTGCAGGATCAAGCCCAAAATGTATGTATTTCATTACTGTTTTAGACATCTACTGTTCCCCAACTGCCACTTTTTATACTTCAGAAACCTAGCCAAGCCCTCGGTCTTTCTCAGCTGTCAGTTAGGCTTTCCACAACATTGTAAGCTTGGAAAACTAAAGCACTGGTTTGGTTTGGTTCAGTTTGGTGGGGAAGAGGGAAGGAATGGAGTGAATGAAATCTGCTCGTATCAATAGGAATCCTTCTACAACCATCACTGAGACTTCTGTGAGAGCTCCAGAGAGATGTCCTGTTGCCATAGCTCTAATAACACAAACTGTTGCAGCTAAATACACCCTGTAAAGAAAAATGTAAAGAAATTGGCTTGTGAGCAGAAAAGTTCCTGAGTTGGGAATTCTGCGGGTTTCTACAGGAGGGGTTTTTGACCCCTGCATTCAAGGATTTCTGATATCAGTAAACACCTCAACATAAGGTAATTTGAGTCACATCTGCATAACAACCATGCTATCAGAGAAATGAATGTGAATTCAAAGTCACTCTGAATAATTCAGGCAGGCAGGTATCCCCATCTGACGAGCCCCGTGACCGCGCAGTGCTGGAGGAGGCAGCATCTCCCTCAATGCCATACCATGGTCCATTGGCAAGGGAAGGGATTTGAGGGTAGTTAATTTGTGTTTATTTAAAGAAAAAAAAAAAAAAGTAATTGCAGGTGCCTGGTTGTTCTAGATTTTCAGGGAGGAAACTTGACCCCCTTTGCAGCGCTCCTACATCTACCCATTTTGGAATAAAACAAGAACTGTTGTACTAGGTGAGAAAAAGCATTATTTTAGCCCCTCCTGCTCTTTGTGGCAGTGCCCAGTTGCAAGGCTTTGGCATATCAGACCATTCTAATACGTACCAACCCTCTAAAATATTTATTTGGATGAGCAGCTGGAGCTCTACATCACTTTGGCATATCAGACCATTCTAATACATACCAACCCTCTAAAATGTTTATTTGGATGAGCAGCTGGAGCTCTACATCTTACAGCTGCGGAGCAGTCCTGTGCCAGCAGAGCACAGAGCACATAGGATGCATGTGGCAAGCCTCGTCCTTCACATAACCGAGTGCTAAAAGGCCATGTCCCTCACAATGGCAAAGAAAGGTCTTGGCTGCAGCAGATAGGAGCAACTCTACAGAAGACGTAGAAATTCTTATTAAGGCCAGTAGGCTTAAACCAGCACTCTAATTCTCCTTGACTGTCTCGTGTTCAGGCTGACTAACGTAACCTGGGCTGCCTAATGTCATAACACAGGTCCTCCCTAAGCCTTCCTCTGGAGATCACATAAGGAGCTGCTGACCACATTGCAGAGGGATCCCCACACCGCTGCTGTGCAGAGAGATACGGAGAGGGAAATCTCTGCTCTGTCCTCAGCAGGCACGGTCACAGCCGAGATTTCCTCTCTGGCAGCTGAGCCCAGGTAGAGCAGCCAGCCTGTATCCTCTGAGCAATTTCGCAAAAGGGACGCAGAGATTTAGCAGGGGAGAACTTCAGTTTGGAAACAATCAGGAGAGCAAAGACCATTTGTCCTTGGAGGCTTGCTTTCTATTACGTGTCTTTGCACAGGGCAGAGAGATCTCATGTTTTGACAGCTGGGACTTCTTTAAAAACAAACAGCCCCCATCGGTGTCATATTTGGGGAGTTATTACAGATAATCATAAGTGTTAGATGGAGTCACCTAGATGAGTAGTGTCTGGGATGCGGTGATCTGTACTTAAATACACAGCAGCAGTCAGCTAATTGTGGCTGTGGAGCCCTGGGATCCAAAATCAGCCAGCTAAGCACGGCTCTCTTCCAGCTCACTGAGCAGAAAGAGGTCCCTGGGCTGTGCCAAAAGTTCACACATACACAAAATCCCCCCCACGGAGCAGCACACGCAGGTGTGCAGGCCACCGCTGCCGCTCCAGCTTAGGAGATGCCGAGGCTGCTTCATTAGTGGCAAAATACTCTGCGTGCTGTATTGTGTCTCCCGAAACCAGGGCACTCAGGGGCAAAAACGTGAATTCTGGCAATAGCAGGTGTTCCCAGTATCATACAGAGCAAATTGGCACCTCCCCGGCACAGACATGGGCAGGGAGGAGGAGGAGGGACGGTTGCTCAGTGTGTCTCCTGGGCTGCGTCAGGACCGGTGCGTCACGCGCTGGCACGTGCCATGTCACCGCACACCTCGGCGTGTGTTACCAGACTGACTCCTGGCAGGGATTCAGGAGAAAAAAGCCCTCAGTGGGTGCACCAGGCTACCACTTTTCTGTTGTTTAGGGCTTTAAATAACAAATATTTGCAAAAGAACAACCCAATGACTGCTCCAAGCATGATGCCCAAGGCAGAGCTTTATTTAACTTTATTTACCATGGCGGGCGAGTGCGGGACATCCGCCTGGCAGGCGGTCACTGCACACCGTGCCCTTTGCCAGTCACCTGCCAGATAGATCATTTTTACAACATATCCTTCAGTCCTTCCTTTTTTACCTCTCATTGCACGTTTCTTGGCTCAGGGCCACATGGGAAGTATTTGTAACCATTTTCAATTAGCTATTTGTTTTTAAATTGTCCATTTGTATCCCTTTTATGTCCTAGCTGCTCTGGTGACAGTAGTGAGCGATTGCACTGTGTCTGTTTTATGTCTACACGCTGACATAAGTTATGCTGGGTGATCGGTTAATGTGCTGAAACTGCATGACAATCTCTGCCTTCCTGCCTGCTTCCATTTGGGACCAATGCAAATCCTAATAGCAGCTCTCAGAGTTAAATACAGTTTGATAAATAATAATAGAAAAGTAACATTAGATTATTACTCTACATTACTTCTTTGAAGGCAATTGCATCTGCCAGTTCACAATATATTTTTTCTCCCCAACACCAGAGAAAAATTTGACAGACTGAATTACCATTTCATTTCCAGCTAGGAAAACATTGTCAAGCTTTCAAGGATGGTTTTGAAGAGAAACCACGGACATCCAAAGATGTAAATTACAGTAGGATGAAGAAACCTCAAAGGGTCTTAAGTATGGGAGACTATTGACTGCAGCATCATCTAAGCAAGATTTTTGCTATAAAACCCCATACCATATGTATTTTTCCTGGCTATGACTCATCATCTAAATACAAATTCGATTTCACTTTCAGGGAGTTTATGTTTAAATCTATTTTCCTGTTTCTGCTCTGTTTATGTATGATTTTACATCTGTCTTAACTCTATTTCTTTGTCCCTATTGGTAAATGTAAGTTATATGTTTGGTCTGACACACAGTGCTTTTTTTCCAAGGTTGAGTGAAGCTTGGTGGTTTCAGTTGAAATGAGTGGTGGGTTTGCTAGGGCCCAAAGTGATGTTGATGTTGCTCACCTGCCATTTTGCAGACAGTAGAAGAGGAACTTCTTCCACGTGTACTACTATGTCCATGTTATGGTGGTGCCAGGGCTCAGAGGTGTGCGGTTCACATGCTTCGGGTGCTGCCTGGATGATTCAAAAGAACCGTAACAGAAAACACAGGAGATTTTGACCAGCCTCAGGTCTGTAAGTACATTTTAAACCCACAAAGTTTGAGTGTGTTTGAAATGTACTCAAATATTTCCTTCTTCACCATTGTGTCCTCATGACCCATTGAATCATCAAAGGCTCAGAGATGAAAGAAGGACTTACGGTTAGAAAATGCAAAGGACTCTCTGCTGAAGGGGGAATGGTTTGTTGTATCTTCTTTTTTTTTTTTTTAATCCCAGAACAAATAGCTTTGGTGGATAATTTTCTGCGAGGGTTTTCACTGTAATGAGTAACTGGGCTTCTAGAAAGCTATTTTATAAATAAAGTACATAAGCTCCCAATCAAAAAACCCACAGAAATCAATTGCAAAATCCCCATAGTGTTTCATGAGCTTTGAGTCACACTCAAGGCAGAAAATTCCCCAAACCACTAGCCTGTAGGGAATCAAAAAAGAACGTGGTCCTTTCAGATAATTTTAGTGATGACTTTCTTCAGGCTGTTTTCTACATAAGACCTGTTACCATATTCAACTGAAGAAAAGACACCTCATGTACCTAAACTCCTTCTAGTGGCCTAAGTTGGCATTGACAGGTCAAATTCACCTGTGGCATAATTCAACTGAGCCAATGAAGCTGTACCAAAGAAGGATTTACCAAGCTCGCACAAGGGTCTAATCTTTATATTTGCTATAAGATTTTTTTGCCTTTTTAGAAATGGCTGTAAATTATTTTGGAGATGAGTAAGTTTCCAGCAGGTCAGAGTGAATCCGATGAAAAAGGACACCTGAGGACCCTTAAGCCTTTCTCTCCCACGAGATGGGTATGGAGGTGGAACTACCCACCCTGTAGAAGCTTCATTGATTAAACATGAACTTCACATAAGAATGTATTATTTTCAACCTCAGAAATATTTACCAAAAAATCAGGGATCACGATCTACTGGACAAAAGGAAAACAGTCACAGCCCTAAAAGCTGGAGAAGACCGAGCCATACTCCTCGGGCTGGCCATGATGGTGTGCTCTATCATGATGTACTTTCTCCTGGGAATCACCCTGCTGCGGTCTTACATGCAAAGGTAATTGCATGATGGTTACCCTGATCTCACACTCTCTGCTTCAGCTGATTTCATGTGACTCATTCTTTTGACTCTTTTTATTAAAGTTTTATAATTTTTCCTTTGGTCAACATAGGCCTGATTCTGCACTTCCTTACCCAAGTATAAATTAGGCATAACTGCAGTGAAAGCAAGTTGAGCAATACTGGCATAAATGAGGGAAGAATTAGGTCCCTCTTTGACGAAATCTTGATCCATAGGCTTTAGAATTGCCACAGTTTATAATATCCATACCAGCTGGTCGGCAGTCTGCTGAAC